CTGGAAGTCCCTGTTGAGCATTTTTGCATCTATGCTCATCAGGGAAATTGGCCTGGGCTTTCTTTTTGTATGATGTCTTTGGCCAGGTTTGTCAGGGTAATGTTGGCTCATAAAATGTTTGGAAATATTCCCATTTCCTTAGTATTTTGAAAGAATTTGAAATGGATTTGTATGAGTTCATCCTTGAAGTTTTGGTAGAACTCAGTAGTAAAACCATCTGATCCTGGGCTTTTATGTTTTGGCAGACTTTGATTACTATTTCAGTTTTCTTGCTTGAAATTGGTCTGTTCAGGTTTTCTATTTTTTTCCTGATTTAGTCTTGGTTGATTATTTGTCTATCTTTTCTGGGCATACACATGTTCATAATAATCTCTTGTGCATTTCTGAACTGACTTGGTTTCATTAACCTCTGTCTCTCTTTTATTTCTATTGCATTTACTTTTGCTCTAATTTTTATTTTCTTCTACTAACTTGGTTTTGTTTACTCATCTTTTTCTAGTTCTCTAAGGTGAGAGATAAGAGTGAGTTCTTTCTTGTTTCTTAATATAGGCTTATATTGCTATATGCTACCATCTTAGTACTGCTTTTGCTTTGTTCTGTAGGTTCTGTTAGATTGTGTCCTCATTTTCATTTCTTGAGCATTTTTAAATTTCTTTGATTTCCTGTTAATCTGCTACTCATTCAGTAGTGTGTTGTTCAGTTTCCAAATACTAGAGGTTTTTTCCTTTTCTTAATGTGATGGATTTCTAGTTTGGTAACATTATGATTAGAGAACATGCTTGGTATGACTTCATGAATTTATTGATACTTGTTTAGTGACACAGTATGTTATCTCTTCTGGACTGTGTCCCATGTGCATTTGAGGAGAGTGTGCATTTAGCTTTTTTTTTGTGAAACAGTGCCTGTAACTGTCTTTTAAGCCTATGTGGCCTAATTCTTTGTTTAAAGCTTTTATTTTCTGTTTGGTTGTTCTGTCCACGGAGATACAGGGTGTTAAAATAGCCATCTCTTTTTGTGATGCTTGCAATGTCTGTTTGTAGATGTAATAATAGTTGCCTTATATATTTTGATGTACCCTTGCTGGGTTACTATATATTGATGAGTGCCATCTCTTTTTGTGATGCTTGCAATGTCTGTTTGTAGGTGTAATAATAGTTGCCTTATATATTTTGATGTACCTTTGCTGGGTTACTATATATCGATGAGTGTTTTGTCTTCCTAATGTATTGTTCCTTAATCATAAGCTTTCCTTCCCATCCCCACCCCCATCCCCACGCAGGAAGTCTATTTTATCTGATGTTAGTATGACTGTTCTTGCTTTTCTTTTTCTTCCCATGTACTTGTAGGATTATTATGTATCTTTAATGCTCAGGTACATTTCCTGGAGGTAGCAGAAAGCTGGATTTTGATTTTTGATTCAGCCTTTTTACATCCTACAGCTTCTTATATGGCATGTTTCTTTTTTCATTAGTATTTAGGTAATTTTTTATTTATCCTTTGATGTCCTCATTATCTTAGTTGTTCATAGTAAGCTCTTCAGTCTCCATTTAGGTCTGGTTTTCCTCTATTTGGTTTAGTTTCATTCTGTAGTTATCTGAAGATATGCTTGAAACCATTTCAGCCTTCTAAATTTATTTATTGAGAATTGCTTTCTGCCCCAGCATCCTTCAGAATGTCCCATGAATACTTGAACAGAGTGTGTACTTAGTTCTTGGGGGTTAGAGAATGCTTTGTAAACATCTACTAAGTCTATCTTAACCATTTTGTCATTGAAATTCATTGTTTCTGTTTGTTTGTTTGTTTGTTTTTAATTGGTCTGGATGTTCTGTTCATTGCTGTGAGTGGTATTGATACCATCTTTTGAGTTCGGGGTTCTTGGGTTCACTCTGGGAAAGATTTCGCCAGAGCTCCCCATTCAGCAGCACATGGCAAGATAGAGACTCAGTTATATTTAAAGAGGAAGTTTATTAGAAAGAGACAGGAGAGGGGAAGACACTTGGTTAGGTGCAAGTGGGCAGGAAGAGCTGCCTGGAAAGAGACAGGTTTGCAGGGAAAGAAACCTGCATGGTTGCAGGCAGGCAGGCAGCTGCTGCCTTGCAGAGGGAGAGTGGGTGGAAAGAAGCACCTGCATAGGCACAGGTGGGCAGTGGAGTGGCTGCCCCATGCTGGTGGAGAGACCGTCCAGATATAGACAGCTTATCTTTGGGAGGGGCTCATTCCTTGTGAGCCTAGGTTTGTTGACTTTGAATAGAATCTGAGAGGTCAGAGATTCCCTAGTGAGCTTCATCTCCATATTCATGTCCTTGTCTTCACCTGGGTGCCAGGCATCCTGGCTTTGGTGCCCTGATTTTATGGCTATGTCTATTGCTTCATTAGCCCCTTCTACCCATCCCTTTGTGTGAGTCAGCCTTGTGATGCCTCTCCTGCATTCCTTCCTCCATCAGTATGTTGAAGTTTGATACTATTGTTGTGCTGTTGTAATTGTCTACCTTTTAACTCCATTAATATTTTGCTTTATGTAGATCTTGGTGCTACCATATTGGGAGCACACATATATATTAGTAAGTGTTAAGTCATTGTGTTGTGTTGATCCATTTTTTTTTTCTTGGTTACCATTTTTAGCTTGAAGTCCATATTATACAAGAATAGCAGTTCCTGCCTGCTATTGAGTTCTTCACAGTGTGAATCTGTTAGTTTCTTTTTTTTTAAGATTTATTTATTTATTTATGTTAGTTTTTTTTTCTTTTTTAAGATTTATTTAAGATTTACTTATTTATTTATTTTTTAAGAATTGGGGTATAGACCAGAGGTGTGGGGGTGAGAGCATTCCCCAAAGACAAAATGGGGACCAGAACAAGCAGAATGACTGAAAGACTGCTGAGGGGAACAGTGGAGCGGACTGGAGTCTGCTGTGCTGTGTGGATCACCTCCCTGGCCAGCGATCAAACAGCTGATAGCTTCATAGTGCTGTGCTTTAGACCCTTGTGCCACCAGTGAGGGCCCTCTGTTAGTTTCTTAATTAAAGCTTCAGTTTTTAATCCCCTGCTCATTAATTTTATTCCGACTATTTAACCACCTTTTATACTATTACTGGGCTTTGTTTAAAATCATAACTGAGCTGCCTGTCTTTTCTTTTCCAGCAGGTGGTGCTATGACTTTGTTTCTTAGTTACTACTGCTAGCCCCTTGGTGCCTCAGACAATGATGGAGGAGCTGTTGTTGTGTCTTCAGGGTAGGGGAGGGGAGTGTGAAGGTGGTTAGTCATTGTCCTGGACATACTGGGGGAGTGTTACAGGGCAACCCACTGTGAAATGGGTTGCCTGTCTGTGGGTCCTCACCTGCTTGTTTAAAATTCAGTTGTACTGCAGGCACACACAAAAAGGGTCAATAATGGGTTTATTTACAAAGAGGAAAGGAAAAGGTACAACCCAGGGAAAGAGAGAGAGAGATACAAGTTAACAAGAACTTCCTACAGCTCCCATGACTTGGAACTCCAATAACACACTGAAAGCTCATCAAGAGCCAAGCTACCAGTCACACGATCCAGAGTGAGAGACTGTCTAATGTGGCTTCCTTATATATATATATATATATATATATATATATGTGTGTGTGTGTGTATATGTGTATATGTATATACGTATATACATATATGTGTGTATATATATCTATATATATCTATATATCTATATATATATATCTATCTATATCTATATATATATATATATATATATATATCCATCCCCAAAAGTCACAGAATGCCTGCTTAGCCCTTGGGTCCTCATAGTTCTCTTCCTTGCTATTGCTGGGAGTTGTAGTTATTGGAGTAGGGGGTAGAGTCCACAAAACTGGAGCCCACAAAACTCTGCAGAGTTTATTAAGGACTTCCTTCAGGACATTCCCTAGCTACCTAGTTGCATTGTATAAATGGGCTGATCTCCTTGGATTCTGTCTAAATTACTGACCTGAGGTGCAGAGGCTGCTTCAGCCTCACCGCTGTATATGGGATTCTCTCAGTAGTCTTACCCCTGGATAATTGTCAGTCATTCCTCTTGTGAGTAAAGCAGAGGAATATCTTCTACTGCCATCTTGGTAACATCATATTTTGGTTTTGCTTTTTTGCCTAAGGTTTTGGTGTCAAAATCAAGACATCATTGCCAAATCCTAAGTCATGAAGTTTTTCTCTTATGTTCTAAGAGTTTAACAGTTTTAGGTCTTCTGTTTATGTCTTTGACACATTTTGAATTAATTTCTGTGTGTGCTGTTAAGGTGTATGTGTCCCCCTTTCAGGATGCCATTTCTTATTAAATGGATACATCCTTGATGTTAATAAATACGGAATTTGTTAGAAACACATTGAAAGCCTAGGGTACAGATAAGCCACCAATATGCTATTGATATTTCCAGTATTTTGGGTACTAGGAGTAGTTATAATGCTATTAGAAAATTTGAGTGAAACTAGGTTGTGAAGTCTAATGGAGCCCTGGTCACTTCTAGTTATGATCAGGAAATTACACCATATATGAATTTTCTTATGCAAGTTTGTTACTAAAGTTTTATTTTTCTGATCATAAGAAGTTAGAAATACAGATATTATATTTCACTTTATATTTGTGGAAAACAGGAAACAAATGAATAAACACAACATAATCTCTTTGATAAGAACAAAATAGTGGTTACCAGAGAGGAAAAGGGAAGGGGGGATGGTAAGTATATTGTATAGGTCTCAGTTGTTTGTTGGAAGTTAAACTTTAGGTGGTAGTGATAATATACTACACATAGATTATGAATCACAAATTTGTTGTACCTGAAACCTTACAATATTTTATTTACACCAGTAAAAGTGAAAAAAAAAAATTAACTTTAAATGGACAGTAGTAATAAATGTATTTGAGTTTCTGTTTTATTCTTACCTCCTTGTGGAGGAAAAAGGTGATGATTTGTACTTCTTATTAGTGAAAAGTCAAAAGTGAAACATAAGTGAAATTTTCACCTTTTTAGGGATTGAGAAATGATCTGAAAGCCGCTTTGGATAAGATCGACCAACAGTACCTCAATGAACTTGTAGGTGGTCAGGAACCTGGAGAGGAAGACACACAGAATGATTTGAAAGTTCATGAAGAAAACACCACAATTGAAGAGTTAGAGGTAAGCTCTACGTCACCTTACTTCCTCTCCCATCACACCTTTCATTTCCCTGGAACAGGTGGTTAAGGTCATTAGAGCCTTTTTTTCAGAGTACCCTATTGTCATTGCTCTTCAGAAAGCCTTGTCTTTTTTTGTTTCATGCTCTTATTTATTTATTCACTTCCCTTTTCTCATTTTCTACTCCTGTCCCCTTCAAAAGTAGTTATTTAACTAAGCTTGATGTTCATCCTTTTATTTGTTAGGGTTTTATGAAGCATATTTTTTGTGTGTGTGTGAATTTGATTTGATTTACATAATGATATTATATGTGAAATTCTTCATTCTGTTTGTTTTTTGCTTTTCTTTTTTCATATGGTTCTATGTTTGTAAGATCTAGCCTTGGTGGCTTATGTACATTTAATATTTGCTTTTAATACTACATAATTTTTATTGATGGTGGTATTCATAGCCAGTTTCTTTTTATCCCTCCATAATATTAAACAGCTAGATTGCTTCTGTCTCTCTCTTGTCACAAGCAGGTTTGTGATAAACCATCTTGTACATACCTTGTATAGACTAGGAAGTGAGATTCAGCAACCTCACTACTTGTTCTGTTACCGCCAGGTTGTTCTTTACAATGACTGTACTCACACCCCCATGGCAGTATGTATGTATTCTTTTATCCCTGCCTGTACTTGGCAGTGTCTTGCTTTCTAATTTTGTTGGTGTGTTAAACATGGAGTGGTACATGGAGTCTTTAATATATATATATATATATATTTTTTTTTTTTTTTTAAAGATTTATTTGTGCATACAGAACTGGGTTACAGGCCAGCAATGCAGGGGTGGTGAGAGGATTCACCAGAGACAGAGTGGGGAGCAGAACAGGCAGGTCAACGAAGTATACTGCTGAGGGGAGCAGTGGGTGGGTCAGGAGAGGTCTGCTGCACCATGTGGGTCATTTTCAGGGCGGGCAGGGGTCGCACTCATGTTGAAGTGGCTGGCCTTAGCTTTTTAGTACTGTGTTTTAACCCGCTGCGCCACCAGAGAGGTCCCTCCTTCAGATTTTTTAAAAATTACACAGTATATGTAATAAAGAACCTTGTTTAGATTAGTGTTAATAACTCAAATTTCATTATTACTCTTTACTAATGAATAGAAACATGATTTTTCTTTTAGGCATTAGGAGAATCTTTAGGAAGAGGAGATGATCACAAAGACATGGACATCATTACTAAGTTTCTTAAGGTATGTGCATCTAGATTAGGAAAAGACATTTGGTTTAAGAACTGGCTCTGCCTTTTAGCTTATCAAAGATTGAAGATTAGAAAGGGAAATACTCAAACATTTCATACCATGCACACGTTAGGGTTAGGGTTATACACATGGATGTAGAAATTAATCACAGAAAATATTTTTTTGTGGTACTTTTTAAAAGCTCACTTACTAATTAAATACAGAGAACAGAATGCAGGATGAACAAGAAGTTTGGAAAGTTAAAACTTTAGATCACTTTCAGAAGGCACACAATGAGTATAGGGTTCCAGAAGTTTTAATGAGAGGTTAATGACAGTAGGGAAAGATGGATGTGATGAGACATTGGCAGTGAAAAGATCAATAACGTTAGCAACCTTTCAAAGAGACTGTTTCTCAGTTGTACCTGTTCTTGCTATGATTAACTCATTCCATTTTTCTTCTTAACATTTCTCTTTTTAGTGCTCTCAGTAGAATATATACAAATTACAAATTAATTTTAGTATATTCACAAAACTATTTGTGTTTACGCCAAGAAATTTAAAAGAAATACTTTCACTTGTATTTGCAGCTTAAACAGAGCATAATCATCAAGATTCTGAATAGATTAAGGATAGGACATGGGAACTGATGAGTACTAAAATTTCCTCTTTGATGGCCTCTCATTACACAGTCTAGGTGTAGATAATGCCCTTAGAGGAGTATGTCTGCAATCTTCACTGTTGCCTACGAGGGACGAGGTGTGGAGTATAGGGATGGGTCATAATTGCATAACTTGCCGTTCCTTTTTTCTTTTCTTTAGGTAGTGTCTTATTAGTGGTATTTTTAAGTTATGGTCAGTATTACACAAGTAGAAAACCTTCAGTACAGTACACTTGGAAGACTAATAATATATCACAGCATTATAATTTTATAACTGACAAATATAAATACACATTTATTTTTATCAGGTAGCCATGAAACTTGATAAAATCTTTTTGCATTTAAATGGATTATTTTGAGCTAACACATATACAACAAAATAACCAGAAATAGTTTATTAATTAAATAGTAAATAATATTGGTAGTTCAATCAGTCAAGAAATTTACTTTAAGGTTAATATTAT